CAGGTGGCAGTCACCCTCACTAAACCCGCCTTCTCATCCTTTGTGATGAGAAGCTGCACAGGAGAGAGAGCGTCCCCAGAATGGGGCAGGGGCTCTGCGAGCCGTTCCTCACCTGGTCCAGGGCTGGCCACCTGGCTGCGGTTCTCCCCAAGCAGGTGAGTGGCAGGTGGCTTTGCTGCGGGGGGTACCTGCTTCTCTGAGGGGTCAGGGAGGAGGGGGTAGGCGGGAGCAACTCCTGGGGCCTTCACTGCTCTCGTATCTTCGCTTCGCTCCTTCACAGCAAACATCAAACTGCTCTCTGCAAGAATCGATCTCAGGCTTCACCATGTTGCCTTTCCCAAGAGTAAGGCTGTGTTTCTACTTGTGGGAAATGATATCTCTTATTAAAATAATTGCACACGCCATTACACTGGTGGGCGCTGTGTGTGCGTGCGTGTATTTGCATGATTTTTCCTTAAAGTTCCCGAGTACCTGCTGAGGAGCACGTGGGATGGTAGACATTCCCTGGCACCTAGAGTTGTGATGACTTAGGCAAGAGACATCTTTGCCTTGTAGTCTCAGTGTCCCCATCTCTAAAATGGGAATAATAGCAATTTCTATCTCCCAGTGCTCTTATGAAGAGTAAGCGAGCAACGTTCGAAAGCACTTAAGTCAGGGGCATGGCACAAGATGGCTCCAAATGTTATAACTCATTATTTCTATGAAAATTGCTACTCTTGTCTTTGGGGCTGGCCAATGACCCATCTCAGGAGAAGGCTGTGCAGGGGCAGGTCCCTGACTTCTGGGTCACAGAAGATCATTCATCATCATGCTCTCTCTGTAGCCTCATCTTACCCCTTGCCCCAGGGCTAACGGTAAATCTGATCCACCTCCTCCCTGCCAGGAGTGGAGCAGCTGCCTGTCTACTGACTGCCTCCAGGGTCCATTTGTAAGTGTTTCTTTCCCCTCTTGTACAGGAGAGGCCCACTAGGGAGGACAAGTCAATAGTTCAGTTAAGAAACAGGCTTTACTTTCTGCTCTTGCCTGGAAAACTTCTTTATCACGAGTCTTGTTTTTTCCCTCCTTCACATTACAAGGTTCAGAAGTGACTGCCTGGGCCATTGTTCGCTCACAGAATGGCCGAGGGATGAGTGGCAGTTGTTGACATCCTGTCTGACACTCTTCCCCCAGCCTGCAACTCACTGGCCACAGGTTGGGCATAAGGGGGTGGGGAGTCCTTCTCAGACCCACATCATGTCCTCAGCACTGTTCATGTCCATGCTGCAGGAAGAGCAGCCACGTTTGATTGAGGCCTTCAGTGCCCAGACACTGTGCCAGACCCCAACTTTTCTTACTGTTAATGTTAATATTATTATAGCCCAGGAAGGTATGGCCATCCTTGGGGGTGGGAGTAAGATACGGAGTTTCAGAGAGGTTAAGTGACTTTTCTTGAGCCACCCATCTGGCAAATGCCAAGGCAAGGATTTGCACCAAGTTTAATGGTGTGGTTAGGTTCATCTTTAAGTACAATCTTGTGTTATTTCTGGTTGGGAGAAAAGGAGGTAGAAAGCTGTGTCTAGTATGTGACTGAAGCGTTAACCTTATCTTGACAAAGGTATGTCATCAAGGTCCATGACTTAAAGATCATTGACAAATCTGTGGAGTTTTTAGAAGATGATGGAGAGATTCTGGGGCTTTGAGAACTTGACTTTGAGTTAGAGGAGGCATGGGGGACAGAGGCATCCCTGCTCCTTGCTGGTGTGATGTCAAGATGTGAAGGGCCATTCTTCTGGGTTCCTAACTGTGGGCTGAATCTGTTGGTGCATTCCATGTGTGAACAGTGATAGAAATATATCCCATAACATTTCTAGGGAGTCAGAGTCCTCGTAAGCTGCTCTAGACTAGGGGCCATCTCATGGGTTCAGCTACTGGAACACTCCTAACCTGACATCTCCTAAAACAGTGGGCTGGTGATCTGGGTAGACAGCACTCTGATACTTGTGACTGAAGACTTCGACATCTCATTCCCCAGCTAGTTGGCATTTAGGGTTCCTTGCCTGTAATCTCTGCAGGAGTGGGGACTGTGTGTGTTTTACTCCCCAGGGCTCATAGGGCAATACCAGGCACATCGTAGGCACTCAGTATTTGTTGAGTCAATAAATGGTAGGCAAACGTGATCCACCATCTGTCCCCTACTGTACTCCTTCCTATGCAAGCAGGTATTGCAGGCTGCTTAATGCCAGGCTGAGCTGCGAAAACAGGACTGGCCACCAAGAGAAGGAAAGAGGAGAGAGAGAGAGAAAAAAAATAGGAACCCAGCCTAAGGATGATTTGCACATGAATTAAAGAGAGAATTGCCCAGCATATAAACTGGAATAACATCTTTGAATTTTGATAGTGTAGGTTTTCCCAGTTCTTCAAACCCCATCATCGGAAAACTGGGAGAAGACAATAGCACGGTCCTCCTTTGCCAAGAAGAAATTGACATACAGTTAGATTAAGATAATTGTCAAACTCAAACAGCAAAGAAATTAAAAAAGCGTTATCTTGGATCCAAATCCAACAGCAAGTTACTTGCCTTTGGATTACAATTTTCGCAAAAGAAAAATTTATGTTTATTTGGTAGTAACTCCTTCCTTTTCCCATCAAAACATTTTGAACTGCTTCCATGTCCACTGTGGTGTTGGAGATGATTTTACGGGCTTTGCAGGGTGAGGATACGCAGGGGGGAGCCCCTGCCTCCACAGTCCTGGGGAGGACACGTTCGCGCCTTCTCGCTTCTCCTTCCGTCTCCCCCACACCTTGCCGGGGAGGCTCTGGGGGACCTCACAGGCCAGGTGAGGCTCTAAGGCAGCAGCGCTAAAGTCGAATTTCGTAAGGGGAGGAGGGCGGGGGGTGGGGGTGAATGGGTGACGGGCACGGAGGGGGACACTTGACGGGATGAGCACTGGGTGTTATTCTGTATGTTGGTAAATTGAACACCAATAAAAATTAATTTATAAAAAATAAAAATAAAAAAAAAAATAAAGTCGAATTTCGTAGCAGTCTTTGGTTTTTACTGTATTTCTTTGGATGTTTACCGGTTATTTATGGAGGGAATGCTGATTTCATCATTAAGCAGGAACATGACAAGTTTCTTCTAGGCTTTTCGTTTACAAAGTCTCAAAGGAAAGTCTCTGTATGGGAGGAGGGGGAATAAGGCAACACTGGCCCACTTGGTTCGTAAAAGGTCAAAGCTGGGGAGCACTGGCTTTCCTGCCTGAGAGCTGTGTGTGTCCAACTGTCAAGGCTCAACATGAATCCCCTGGGGTACTTGTTAAAAATGAAGATCCTGTCTGATGCCATAGATCTGGGCTAGGCCTCCAAGTGGTTTGAGCCACAGGGCAGCGGCTGGAGGTGCCAACTGTCTGGTTCCTGTACGCACAAGACTCCCACGTGGCTCCTGGGCATATTCATGTGTGGGACGTGCTGACCTCACAGCCTTGGGGAGTCCTAGTGCGTAGTGAGCCCTGGTGAACAGGTCATCGGAGGCCATGCCCGACCCCCTCGCTGGAAGCTGGGTTCCCATTTCCTAGCTTCCAGAGCACCCACAGAGAGCTTGTGGAAGGCAGTTTCCAGGCCCAGGATGTCCTTTCTTGGCAACCACCCTGTACTGTCTCCAGACCTTTCCATTCCACCACATGCCCACCTCTGCCCCCGTTTGCTTTGGGAGACCCAAGTCCTCTGCGTGGCTGCCTCGCCGTCTGGATTCTCAGAGGCAGACACCGGTGGCTGGAGCGTGGCTGGAGAAAGCACGTCTCTCTTTCTTGGCTCCGCTGCTCCCAGAGGATATAATTTGCTTGATAGATGCGTTCTGGCAGCAGCTCCCCAGGGTGGGATGTGGAATTGTGCAAAAGGTGGGGTGCACGAGGCTTTAAAAAATAGCCACAAGGATAGTAACACCTGGGGGACAAGTGGAGCGAGGAGGGACGTGCTCAGCGGCGGGGCCTGCTGCGTGGGGAAAGGATGGGGATCGAGGTTCTGGGGTCTGTGAGAGCGGGGCCTGGGCCCCTCGCACTGCTGACAGCCTGTGGGATGGGACCTTGCTACACCCCTGCTGAGAGGTGGAGTCCATTCCCCCGTCTTGAGTCTGGGCTGATGGGTGACACCGCCCTGTCGGACCCACATACTGAACTGAGCTCGCAGGGAGGAGGCCAGGGCCGGAGGGTCATCTGACAAAGCCAAGCACGTCCTGGCAGGCTCTGACCCCCTCGCCCCTGCCCACCCCGTTTTTCCTCTTGGTGGTGACTGCTCTGCATGCACCTGTTGTGGGCTCCCGGGGTGCGGGGGGCTTGGGAGGGTGGCGAGAGGAGGACGTGGATGCTTCATGCTGCCTGCGTTCTTGGCAGCAGCCCCAGAATGCCCCTCATTCCCCTTTTCCTTCCCTCCCTTCCCTTCTCCCTGTGTTCCTCCTGCCGGACCTCCTGTCTTCTCTGGGAGGCTTTTCTTGCTCACTCTGCCCCCCACTGGTGGCGATGTGTCAGCGCGCCGTGGGGGGGGAGGGGGAGGGGGAGGGAGGGAGGGCAGGACCCCGGGGTGGGGATGGGGGTGGGGTTCCTGGCCCAGATGGCGCAGGCTGCTCCCTCACCTTTGCTCCGCGGGGAGCCCATTTCCTTCCCAGAGCTGCCTGTTGGCCTGGCCTTGCCCCACCCCGAACCCCCCACCTCCCTGCCACCCCCCCTTCTGCTCCTCGGCTCCTAGTTCACATCAGAGATCCGACTTCGAGGGTCTTTGTATGTCAGCTTTGCAGCTGTTCTTTTATGCTCCGAATGGGTCTTTGCTGGCACGTGCTGCCAGAAGGTTCTACAGAGTCTCAGTAATTCTTTCCATCCATTTTTCCCTCCTGAGGCAGCCTGTTATTCCTTCCCCTTCCCCAGAGGCTGGATTCTCCACCCAGGGCGTGTGGGAGTGGCCTTCTCAGGGAACTACAGGCTACAGATGAGTGCTCAAGCCCTCACATGTCTGTCTTTGTTTTGTTTCAGTTTTACAGAGTTTTTGGATCCATTCCAGAGAGTCATCCAGCCAGAAGAGATCTGGCTCTATAAAAATCCTTTGGTGCAATCAGACAACATACCTACCCGCCTCATGTTTGTAAGTACCATTATTTCATGGCTGATTTGACCAGTCTCCCAAGTATGAACCGAATGGGTTTTCATTTCTGCTTTTCTAACCCCTGCTGAAGACAGTGAGGAGCCTGGAAGAAAGAGGAGGTGCGCAGCCCATCACATTAAACTCAATTCCAGGTCATGACGGGTGCTTGCTGGGTCATGTGAGAACTAGTAATTGCCTGCCACTTTGGAAAGAGAAGGGACTTGCTTACCTGAGTTCTTTCCAAATATTTACAGTAAAATAAGACTAGAAACCGATTTCCCTGTTCCATTTCCTTCTGGGATAAACCTCGATTTTTGCCAAACTCAGGCCCCATAGATAGCTCTGTTAACTGCTCTTTTTGGTTTCTAGGTGGTCATGTGACACCACTGATGACCCCCACCTTGTATGACTCAATCCCTGGATAGTCTTTTGTGTCTTTCTACTTCTAGAATAAATGGGCCAGGATCCAAATAGCTGGTAGATATAGTGGCATTACTTTCACCTCTTCACCCCACCCCATGGCAGCTGTGGCCTTTTACACCTCACTTCCTATGTGCCAGGCCCTTTGCTGAGAGCTTGAGAAAGGATTATCTCATTTAATCGCACCCAGCATTCCAGTGAGAAAGCTGTCGGTCTTGTCCATATTTGCAGGTGCAGAATTGCACCCCAGAGAAAGAACGAACCTGCCCAAATCCACACAGCCAGTGAGTGGCAGAGCCAGGATTCAGATCCAAGCAGGAAGCTCTGAGACCAGTCTCAGCCATGAGGCTGCCCTGTAGGTCAGGAACCCAGTGTTCAGGCTTCCTTGCTGATGCTAATTGCCTCCTGGGGAATTGCCATCAGGCCTTTCTGTAGCAGAGGGAATATTTGTGCTCCTCCTCATTACAGAACAGTAATGTGACTTTTGGTGGGCCAGCTTGAAGTTTATTCCTGTTGGCCAGCTGTTATGTCTTGTGCCTCTGGGACCTTCAGTGGTTGGTCCTGAGATTTCATAGAGCACAAGCGAACATTTTTGTGTTTTGAAAGAAATCCCTCTGATTTTATGAGGGAGATCTTGTTAATTAGTGATGATTGGAAAGATCTTTGTGTCTGAAAACATCCCGAAATGCCCCGAACATCACATGAGCTTTGAAGTGTTACTTTAATTGCTCTTTAATAATTGCTTTTCCACTGGAAATGAAACTGGATTTTTGTAAATTTCAGGGGACTTGAAGAGTTCAGGCATGATCTAACACTTGAGTATGAAAATTAGACTTTTTCCATTTCTGCTCTTACTCAAATCTTCTATAAATCCTAGAAATAAAGGAACTGGTATGTGTCTCACTAGTTTACTCCATGGTTTTGAAAAGGGGAAGCTCCTACTTACCACTTACCCCCATTCCTCACAGATTTCACATTTTATGTGCTATAAAACACAATTTGGAGATGAGTGTTCATATGGGATATTGTGGGAAATTTGTGGCTGTGTCCTAGATTTATGAACAATGGAATGGTTTGAAGTCTAGATACAAATGCCACAAATATTCTGGCTGCAGACACAGATAGGAGGGGGCACATTTGCATGTTGGCAGGGATGGTTAGGAGGCAGTAAAGGAGTTATTCAGTTCTGTGATTCTCAGAGAATAGAAGTGTATTCAGCCTCAAATCCTGATTCCTACCCTTGAATCCCCTAGTAAGTTCAACCTTCTGTTTTGTTAATAGTAGTGGATACGTTTCATTCATTTTCTCACAAGATTTAATACAATTCCATAATAACACAAGGAAAGCGGTAGATACATTTATAATACATGTAACATAAAGAGGAAAACTGCTTTGTCACCTGGATTTTATTGAGTTTAATATAAAATATCATTTGTTCGCTCTGATTCTTTAAAACCTTCAAATGTTTATGGAAGACTCTAATAAAACATGCTTTTATACTGTTCTTTAAAACTATGTTGATTCCCTTAGAAAGCTCAAGTTTTGCTGTTTAATACATAAACAAAATCCTGGGGTCTGTTTTACTTTTGGTTGGAATGTTTTAATCCAAAGGCAAACTTTTATTTAATTTTCTAACCAAACCATTGTTGAAAGGCAGCTGGTAAAAACCCAGATGTCTTTTGATTGGGAAATTAGGCCTCTGGAAGTGTGTGTGTGTGTGTGTGTGTGTGTGTGTATGCACATGTGTATTTTAGATGAGCCGCTTGTTCAGATGTCACAAAAATAGTATCAGAATGGTACGGGATTAAGTTAAGCAGAGTGAATGGTGATAACACCACCAGGGAGCCCCCCTCATTTGTTCTGTCTTTGGCACTGTCAGCCAAGATGACTATGTCTGCCAACCTGGAAGTTGAATGTGGTTGGATTGTTTGGTTCTAAGAGTTTGTTTCCCTTGATGATTCTGGGTTCCTGTTGAGCAGAGAGACTGAGAATTCTTTTCACATATACTGAATCTTGAATTAACATGTCCTAGATGTTCACAAACCATTACCTGCCTTTATGGAAGGCTGCTCCCTATTCAAAAGATATGATCATGGTTTGTTCCTGAGTGTGGGATTTATCATAGCATTTTTGAAAATCTGCTTTTTGGTGTAGGAAGACTTAGTTTGTGTTGGTTTTTGCTTCTTAGTATATTCTTTGGTTGCTGTCTTAGTAGTTGTGTCTTTGTACATTCAGGGAACACTTCCAGGAGCCTGCTGTGGGTAAGGAAATCCATAGGAGCTTCAGGTGATAGGAAGTCAAATCAGATGTGGGAGGTCTATCCTTAAGGTCCTGTAGGTGACTGGGGGAGATGGTACTCTAAACAAAACAGAATCTAGAAAGCACTAGAGGCTTGAGTACACTTTTAGTGAGCTTCATCACCACCACCATCATTGTCATCATCACCACCATTATCATCATCACCATCACCACCATGATCATAATCATCACCACCACCACCATCATCATCATCAACACCATTACCACCATCACCACCTCCACTACCATCAGCAGCAGCAGCACCATTACCACCACTATCATCATCACCACCATCATCATCATCATGGCAGTAACAACAACCACCAACATCTCTTGAATACAGGAATTGTGCTTTCCACTTTACAGCAGCATCTCAGATAATCCCTCTCACATCTGTTGAGGTCAGCACTTTTGTGAACCCATTATTTCAATGACAAAATGAAACCCCAGTGGGATTAAGCAGCTTGTCCAAGGTTATATACCACCAGTTGCTGGACCCAGATCTGAATGCCAGCTCCCTTCAACTGTGATGTCTCCATGGGGGCTTGTGGTATATGGAGAGGTGGTGAGTAGCAGATCGCACGCAGAAGACCTGGTGTGTAAAGGCACAGACACCGGAGAGCAGGGGCCACGTGGGCCCAGTGTGTTTAGGGTATCCGTGTGTGAGGGAGGCAGAAGAAGGAAGCAGACTGTGGAGAAGCTTCAGGTTAGCTGATTATTACTTAATTCAGCTGACAGTTACAAAGCACCTGCCTGAGCCCAACATGGTGCTGGGGGATGGAGGTGCACAGCTGAACAAGATATGGTTTCCTGTCTCATGGGGGACACAGACATGAACAGGAATTGGATGGTCACAGGTGAACTCAGGTAATGAGCTGACGGAATGATTGGTGTTCCCCAATTGCTTTCCTTGGCTTAAAAAACAAATCTACCCAAGACCTGTCCTTTGCCCTGGCCACAATGAGTCCAGAAAATTACTTCTGTAGAATATTCTTCATATGGTGTTGATTCGATAACAGGGTTTCCTATTTTAGGGTAGGATGTTTCTAAGGAAGACAGAAAGTCAATTTTGGGGGAAGAAGGGGAGGAAAGAGACAAAGCTGGCTCGTGATAGACAGTTTAATTTTTAGACTTTTTGGTAAAGTCTTCGACAGCTCTTTTCTCTATGATGGGCTGTAATTGTTTACTCGCAGCAGGGCTTTTTCAGCTGTCTGTGCTGCACGTCCTGAGTTGTCTCTATAAGCACTTTTCAGCACACCTTTCTGTCAAATGCCAGAAATTAAGGTACTTTGCACCCATTGTTTGTCTGATATGAATGAACCTCAGTGACAAGCTCTTCTCTAGCTAACATCCTAACATCAGGGCGCTCTGGCTTTGGCCCCTTTGCTTATTCAGAGTTCTTGGTGTACTTCTGCCCCTCCCACTTCACACAGGCTAGTCTGTTATTTTCCAGAAGCATCCTGACAGCACTGTGCCTTGCATTAGCACTCTGGGTGACCCACCTTCTGGGTGCAGCAGTGGCTGGGGACAGAAAGGCACTTCCTGTGTTGATTTCATTGGTCAGTGCACAAGGCAGGTCCTTGGTGGAAATGCTGGTCCTGTAGGGAATGGCAAGGAGCCTGGGCAAAGTAGGCTCTTCTCTGTCCCTGACCTCGTCCCTGACTGCTCAGACCTCAGGGCATAGTGGGCTGGAACTTAGAGTGCTTTATTCCCAAACCTGTGGTCTCAGGATCCTGGTACTCCTTTTCTGGTTTGGGTCATTTGTTCCGTTTTCCCTGGGAAATAACGACATTGTAGCCAACAATAGGCATTCACTGGATGCCAACTCTGCCGGCCTATCTGGATGGGTCTGTGGTGCAGGCTCCAGAGTGGACAACCTGCGATCGACTTTCTAGCTAAGTGACAGGAGAATCGCCTCGTCTCTCAGTGCCCCCAGTGTCCTTGTCTGTAAAAAGGGGTCTTTAATAACACTTCCCTCCCCTTCCCACGGTGCTGAGAGCATCAAATGAGGTGATAGATTTACGGTGCTTCGCTTAGCGTTTGGGACATAAGAAACATTCAGTAACTGCTAGTGCATTTGCATCCTAGCAACAATATTTGTTATGAATGGTATTATTATATCCCATCTTATGGGTGAGGAAACCGAGCCCCAAGGGGAAGAGGTGGAGTGCTTTGCTCATGGCCACAGAGCTGGTAAGTGTTAGAGCTGGAGTTTGCATCTGGCTTTCCTTAATCTGAGTCTGTTCCCTACATTTCCCTCTTCAGAGCTCTGGTTTCTCAGCCTGGAGCCTAGCATCATGCAAAACCAGCTGTGGACCAGATCCTGCCTAATGGTTTATATATGTTATCTGGATATTTGGTTTCTGTGGAGTACACTTAATCAGTAGCTTACAAAATGTTCTTTAATGCAAAAATGATCTCAGCTCAGTTTCCTTCAACTGGAAGATGAAACATTTGGGCTTAGGGGATCGCTGTGATTCAAGACTCCAGCCCAGCTAGGAGGGCAGCCCAGTTAGCGGGTGTCCTGCGCCCACCAGGTGCATGCCTTTGGGAATTCACATTACTGCTCTGACTTCTCATTTTGTAATGCAAGGAGGATAATGTTTCCCCCAACAGAGTGGTTAGAAGATTAGAGAACTGTGAGGAAAGTCCCTTATACATAGTAGGTGCTTAACCCATGACAGCTGCCACTAACATTTCTGTGACTTATCCATGTTCCTGGACGTGAGCGCCCTTGACTTCCTCCTTCATCTCCAGAGAAAAAGCATTTACCATGTTTTATTAATGCTTCTTACTTCTAAGGTCAGAACTGCTAAAACACCGTGGTTAAAAGCACAAAGCTTGATTTAAACAGTTCGGTTACAAATTTCCACTTTACCACTTACTAGCTGTGTGACTTTCAGCAGGTTGCTTCATCCCTCAGTCCCTTAGTTTCCCATCCATAAAGTAAGGACACGTTAGTGTGTTAATTTGCCTCACATACCTACAACAGACCATGGCCCTCAGTAAGTTTCCAGAACATGTTAGCCCTGGTTAGTTAACTTATGTGTATATATACTGAGCAGCCCTGTTCTCATAACAGGAGGGAAATGCAAGTCTAAAGAGAGTTCAGTCTGTTCCCTGCATCCCACAGCAGTGATTGGCTGGAACGCACTGTTCTGGTCTCTCTCGGGTCCCATTTAATAAGCATTTATAAGCATTCCCTGTCTTTCCACTGGGCTCATTCCCAGGATTTTCAAAGAATTTTTTAAGCCATGGCAAAATTAACCTGAGGGGAAAACAGTACCGGAGAAATTTTGCCTGCCCATTTTGTCCTCTGTCTCTACATCTGTTTGGAAGTAGAAATAATGACTCCCCACCTTTGTGTCTGTGTCCATTTTCATTTCCGTGGGCTCAGGCAGCAGAAGGGCAGCCTCTAAAGGCTTGTTTCAGAGTTGTGGGAAGGGCGCACATGGGGTTTAATTCCATTTGGTCTTCTGGGTGAAAGGGGGATTCATTTCTCTTTTACTCAATTCAGAAGTGCTTTGGCCCAGAAGATAGTTGTTTTCCTAATGTGTTGGCCTCTGGGGCTAATCTCTTAACTCCATCTTCTAGTTGGAAAATATTTATGAAAAAGGGAGCACACGATCAATATATCTCTATCTATGCTGATTTGAAGCCTGTGCTGTCCAAAGATGTGCCAAATATGTTTTCAGGAAGAAGAAATGGGACCGGAGCCCAAATGTCATTAGGATCAGGGGAGGAGAGAAAGATGGCTACACGGTCTTTTGCAGACATTTCTATGGCCGCCTGGGTGGGTGCTGTGGTGCTTGGTCTGATGCATTCCCTCATGTGAGGCTCATGAGCTAGGGAGCCCTGGCCCTCAAGGGTGCCCAGCATTGGCTGGGATTGGCCCAGCATTGGAAGTGACTTGTCAGTGGTTCTAGAAAAGAGACCAACGTGCATCTACCTGGGAAAGTCGTAGAATAGGTGAAATTAAGTGCAGTCTGGTTGGGCTGTCAGAGTGAGGATCTGTTAGAAGAGCTGGGTTGGGGAGCAGTGCTCAGGGAGATGCCCTTGGCCATCAAGCGGCGAGCCTGGAGCCACTTCCACCCCAGTGCCTTCTCTAGCCCCTACTCACAGTCTTAGAGCTGTCAACCTCCCCTGCAGTGTCTCTCTCTCCTCTTGGTTGGTACCTCAGGATCTCCTGTAGACAGCCTCTGAAGTAGGAAAAGTCTTGCCAACACATATATTTTTTGGGGTTTTATTCAGTCTAAACTTAGAGTATGTCATCTGGGATTGTCTTGTAATGTTTCCTTCAGTCCCACATTGTTCTCATATGTGACTGTCAGTGGGGTCAGTGCAGTTCACTGTTCAGTGAGCCGCTTTCCCCTGTTGGAGGGTGTGTGGCCTGGTCTGCATGTCTGAAGTGAGAGGACACAATTTGCCAGGGACTTTTTTGACCTTAGCTATAACTTTGGACTTAAGTAAGCAAGGGCTTCAGTCATCACTCTTTCAACACTGAGTGTGTGAGTCAAAACCCTAACGCAGGCACCAGCATCAGTATCATTTGAGATGCTTGTTACAAAATGTACATATCCTGTGAGTATATTTGAGGAACTCAGCATTGTAGTGAGCCCGACTGTTTTTCAAGTGTGAGAGCCACCCAGGCTCTCATGGGAACTTTCACAGATTTGCTGGAACTATTAACTCACAGGTGAGTCTTGCCTTTTCCAGTCACCCTTGGGGAAATCCTCCGTTTCTCTGTATGAGATCCTTCTGAATCTCCTCTCTTACAGCTGCGCTTAGACTTGTGCCACATTCTTCCAAATACCTTCCATGGTGATAGGACTTGCTAATTTGGTGTTTAAACAGCTAATTCATTCAGGGACACAGCTGATAAGGAGGCTCGTCAACCTGGTTACTACCATTATGGTGGGAAAGATACTGGCCAGTAAGGAGAGGGGTTTTCTCATGTCTCATGAACCGCTTCTAAAAACAGTTCCCAAAAAGGAGACCCCAAGATGTAGCAAGTATGTAGAGTGTCTCCAGTCATTTTGAAAGACTCTGGTCATTTGGGTGATTTCTCTTTATATAAAAGAAAAGTGTCTTCCAGCTATGCCTTAGCCTGATTAGAAAGCCCCCTTCCAAAAAAAGTAGCATTGCATTAGAGTACAGGTGGAGATTTCCAAAAATGTGAACACTGTTTCCAAAAGTGTGAGCAATAGTTTCCACATCCCATCCTTCCCACCACTGTCTATTAGGCCAGCTGTGGATTTGTAAGATAGTTAGCCCCTTCCGATATTGTTAGCCTGAGATGTTGTAAGGAAGTAACTGAAATACTTTTTTTTTTGGTTGTTGGAATGTTGAAAATAACTTATTAATTGTAGAATGCTAAATAAAGACTAGATATGGCAGGCAGGAAACCTGGTCTCTAAAGCTTGGCCTTGCTACTCACCAGCTTTATGTCCTTGGGCACATCCTTTAGTCCCTAAGCCTGGCAAAGATAGTCACAGAGCCATCATGAGGATTTAAGAGATGCTGGTACCTGATGCTACCCAAACGTAGTTCCTGCCTCATAGTGGGTTCTTTTTATTTTTTTTTAAAGATTTTATTTATTTATTCATGAGAGACACACAGAGAGGCAGAGACACAGGCAGAAGGAGAAGCAGGCTCCTCAAAGGGAGCCCGATGCGGGACTCGATCCTAGGACCCCGGGATCATGCCCTGGGCTGAAGGCAGCACTTAACCGCTGAGTCACCCAGGTGTCCCTCATAGTGGGTTCTATAATGAGTGTTGCTTGCATCTGAATCCCACCAGCTTGATTCATTAAACATTTATTGCACATTTGTGTGCTTTGGGCCAGAGGAGAAGAGGCCATGGAGGAAAGGAAGAGAGGTGGCAAGCAAAAGGATTAAACTCTGCTTTGCAGAGGAAATGAAATTCAACAAAAGAACACCAAAGAAAATGAATCGATTGACTCTAAGCAAGTCCAACATGCTCCCCAAAAAAAGAGAGCTGGGGATGGAAGGCCAAGATTTCTTTCACCCTTCTGCAGGGGAGGGTGTGAGGGGGCTGCTGGCAAAGATGAGTCATACTGATTGTAGGTTATTCTTTTCTGTTTAAAAAGCCACCACTTTAAACGTAGCTCCCAGCAATTACAAATCAGTTATAACCCACAGTCAGACCTCCAATTTTTAAAAAAATCTTTAGCATCTCTAAGTATAGATATAAATCCTCCTTCTTTGTTTGAGGTCAGGAGTTCAGTAAGATCATTCAACTAGTGAGTCTAAATGAAACAAACTTGAACTAATTATCAATCAGCCCTCTGATAGCAAACTGCTGTCCTCATAAGGGATTATTTGTTATTTTTTTCCAGGCAATTTCTTTCCTCACACCCCTGGCTGTTATTTGTGTGGTGAAAATTATCCGGCGAACAGACAAGACTGAAATTAAGGAAGCCTTCTTAGGTAGAGTATTCACAGTTCCTGCTCTAGGGGATGGGGCTGAACTTAATTAGATCAGTAGATTTTTAAAAATCTCTGTTGCACCCAACTGATTTTTCTCTTGGTCAAGCGAAGCTTGGGAGAAACAAAGAAAGGCAAACTTTTAACTCAAAGAAGAGGGGGTGCAGAGATGGCGAGCACCTCACCTTCCACGCAGCCTTGTTGCTGTCCATTGTGCTGAATGTGAACGGCCCTATGGCCCTACGTAAGGTAACGTCAGAGCTCTGTGCTGCTCAGGCACAGCAAGCTGCAGGGTAGCTCTTAGCCATGAGGCAAACCGAATCTGAAACGGTCACCATTGACTGTCCAAGCCCACATCTGTGGCTAATAAGCCCATATTGCGGGCAGTTCAGAAATCAGCCACAGACTTCTTGACCAGTCACCTAGAGGCACCAAGGTCAAAAGCAGATGTACAATGTAATTGAAATTGGAAATAAACTCCATAACTCATTTTTTTGGGCATGGTGGGGGGCGTTTTGGCAGCTAAGCAATTGTTATTGTGTGACGAATGCCACAATCTTTGCCACTGACTATAACACCATTGTTATAAATTCTCCCCAAGCTAAGCCATAGCTGCGTGTGACACGAGTTTGACATTAAGATTAAATCCATTTTTAGATCTTCCTGTTAGTTAAATGACTGAGTATATGACAGCAGTAAGAGAAAGCAAAGCTAATTGACTTGTTTAGCAACCCAAATAAACTACCCAATAGCCAGGTTTTCAGCTTTTAGATCATTAGGAAAACTGAATTATGTTGATTTTTTGACACCTCAATAAAAACTATCCAAACCCTCACACGAACTGTTTTTGGTATGTTGTATGGACTTACATTCATTCAGTTAAATGTCATATCTGGAAAAATGAGATCCCCTGCCCCCAATGTATGTTTGTAAATTATTGGGCTTTGAGGAAATGGAAATGTAGCAAAATATGGTCTTCTCTTTTCTTGGTACAGGAGTGAGGCTAAGGGCAAAATATGGGGTATTCGAGCAGTTAAGGGGCTTTGCACTCTTACATAACCGTTTTGGTTGGGCTCTAACCAAAGAGAACAGAGTGTCTCCAATTAGCTCATATAAATTAGGGGTTTAGTGAGAAATCTCACAGATATCCAAGAATAGGGGGGAAAAAGGAGAGAGGTGCACTGTGGGGACTGAAATAGGGAGCCAGGCCATTGGGAGTGGAGATACACTCCTCTCTGTAATGTGCCTTCCCTCTTCTCCTCATGTGTCCTGCCTAATCCTATAGTGTGGCCATCATTTCTGCTGCCCCATACCTTTGGTTTCTATGAGGTTTGGGCTTGCAGTGGTGGGAGCTCCTGCCCCACACCTGTAGGACCATCAGCACTAGTGCCCACCTCCAAGCTGCTCTGCATCTTGTGGATCAGACGCTCTGGCTCAACTCATTTTTCACACTTGGACACAAAAGTCATGAGTCTCTGGTCAGCCTGCTGGTGCCCTGCCTCAGGTCAGGTGTGTCCCAGGCTGCTTATCTGTGGTTTGGGGATTTGTGATCACATGGTCTCAGTCCCCTCAGCTGAAGTGGCAGAGAGGTCAGTTTTTCCAAGGAGGAGGGCATAGATGCCTCCACATGTGGCTTAAGCAGCAGTGTTTGGATGAGTATCCCTGTGGTCCCTGAAATGTGCTGGCAGCCCTCTCAGCTGACCTGGAAATATCTTTACCTCACTTTTTATTCTAGTTGCTCCCCTGGTATGGAGTCCCAAGATAATATGACTGTGGATAAGAGCTGTCTTTCATGGTTATGGTTATAACTTACTGCCAGCTTCCGGAGTTGTGTGTTGTTGTGGCAGTAAGTTACTTCTCTAGACCTTTTCATTTTCTGCTAAGTCTCCCTTAGAGTGACATTTGAAAATTGCACACCATACCCTGCCTTCTGTATGTTAACAGAGAAGGTGGAGTTATTGGATGTTCTGTTTGCCTAAATAGATGAGAGCCTGTCCTTATAGAAATGAAAAAGAGCCACCTGTTGTACACAGCTTTGTTTGTTTGTTTGTTTTTTAAATCACTTCTTTTAGGAAGCCCTGGAAGTAGGAGGTTGGGGACTGATCTTTAAAAACCAAGGACAGAAAACCAGGTGTAGCATTTTCAATGTTATCTAGAGTTCAGGACTTTCTCAGTGAGAGTGGTTTAGTGCTGAGGTCCCTTTAGCAGACCTGAATCCCAAGACCTCTTATCTGCATGGCCACCATGGCCACCTTTGTGCATCTGCTGTGGAACAAGAGGGGTGAGGCTTGCCCCTATGTAGCATCCAGCTTTTAGGGATTTCGGCTGCAGAACAGCCAATGATAGAGGCCCCAGTTATGGAAATGCTGCAGTGCTGAATTTACAACAACAACCAAAGTAACAACGAAAGCCCTCTAATCCTCTGGGATGCTTATAAGCAGTAGTGTTCTCAATACAGGCCACTTGTGGGCTAACTCACAGTACACATTACTTTGAATTTCTTTATTGGACAGTCTGGCTTGTCTTTTTGTCTATTCTCTCAAACTTGCAGTGCTGTGGGATGTTGTAAACACAGCTTTTATGAAACAGACCCACTGGGTTATTGTTAATCAACAAGCAATCCTGATTGGGGCCATTCATTTCCTGCTCAGCCAGTCTTTCATGCATCTGATCTGGGCCCAGTCTACCCTCTGGTATCAGTGAGAGGCCGCCCTATTGGTCCCCTAGGGGTTGTACTATTCAGATGAAAATAATCAGTTTAGTTTACTTCCAGAATACTGAGATGACTTTCACTCTAAAATACCGTCACTCCAGAGCCTCATTGTTTTCTGTCTCCTTCAGGCTTTTGGGTCAGAGTGAAGTTGCCAGCTGTTGGTGGTTACATCCCATCGACACATTTTCTAGCTCAGCTACTTGAAACTTTTCAAAGAACTGCTCTTTGCTACAATAAGCCAAGCTGGTGCTGAGGTTGGGGACGTGTATGGTGTTCCAGATTGATGTAGTGGTCTGTGAAGTTCCCCAAGAGCACTGGGAGATCAGCTGGTGATGCTTGTTCCAGAGACCTCCTCTGTGCCAAGGCCATGCTAGGACCAGGATCAGAAGAAGCATGGCCCAGCTGGGAAAACACAGCATGAGCCTGCAAAGCAGCTCTAATAGGAAGAGACCCCAGTCACACAGGGTGATCTCAGGGCCTGTTCATTGTCATGGCTCTAGGGAGAGTACAGCAGTGAAGACAGCCCAGGGCATTTTCTCTCCTCTCTGCAAAGGAGACCTCTCAGCAGTGCTCTGAGCTGGCAAGAGAGAAGGGAAGCCTGCATTTTGGAAGGACGGGTCTGTGCGTGCAGAATGTAATCGGAAGATCTTTCTGAACTCCTGCACGCTTGGCTCCTATTTATGCATCCCAGTTGCCTGCTTGGTATATTATTGGCGGTGCTGTGCTGTGACTCCCACTCTGCTCTACACCCCAGTGCCCCATCTGTCCTTTGTTGCCACACTCCGACATGGCCCATTGTTGCCCATCTCACACTTAGGTGATTAGTTTCCCTTTGACAAAGGTATTCATTTGAACTGGTCCCTCCTGTTCTCTCTGCTTCCCATGACTTGTTAAAAGCAGAGAGGTTTTGTATCAGTCTCTGTGGCCAGTGCCCTTGACGACTGTGACCACGACTGTGTTGGCCATTGCACGGTACTTTCTGCTCGAGAACACATTTGTCTCCCTTGATGATGAGGAATTGCTCTAGGCAACTCCTTCCTGGCAATGTCCCTCCACTGCTGTTTTCTTACATAAATTCAACTACTATTGAACAGTTAATATTTACCAAAGGGAAATGATAGCTCATATGCTTTGTTATTCAACAAAGCATTGGAATGGGGCATCAGTAGTTTTTTATTGCTTATGCAAGACATTTGACCTTCTGTCACATTGACTTGCCTTTTGTGCAGTCTTGATAACCATAGAAGAGACCTGTGAGGTACCCTTTGAATGAGCTGTACTTCCTCCAGCAAAGTCCTTCCAAGCTTCTTAGAGAAAGTCCCCATGCTGTATATTTTTAAATAATGGATTCCAGAAGTTACTGCTGCTTTAGGTGGCAGAAAACACCACTTGGGCAAACCTTCTGAAAATCCCATGAGGTGTTGGGACTGTTTGCCTCTCAGAAAGTGATTTGTCTGATAACAGAGGGACAGCTGTCGGCGGGTTATGGGTCAACATGGAGATAATCACCAAGTGGGAATGTCCTACTCTGAGGAAGGATTCCAACAGCTGCTCTGATTAGAATTATGTCTGAGAAGGTTGCCAGAAACAAATAAAAAAGCTATGTTTCTTGCTACCAGTAAAAGAAACTCTACATGCTATAGTATTAAATCTGTTCATATCAGGCCAAAACATAATGGATGGGTTCCTTTCCAATGTAAAAAATTTTAGTCAAGGAAGGGAGATATATTTCAGGGTCTTGGGATTTTATGAATCACTCTCCAATGTCATGCCTTAATTATATTTTACTCTAGCCACTCAGACTTCCCTCTGTTCTTTTAAACTGTTGGCTCATATTTCTGTGGCCAAAATTGAATAGTACGATGATGTAACATGATGATGATGATGATGATGATGGTGATTTGAGAACCATCTGGTTATTTTTCTATCTGTCGGTTTTGTTTTGTAGCGGTGTCCTTGGCTCTTGCTCTGAATGGAGTCTGCACAAACACTATTAAGTTAATAGTGGGAAGGTAAGTTCTGGAAAAAAACAAATGGTGGCTTAGACTCTCAAGGTCCTCTGTGGATTAGCATTTGAGCTTTGGCTTAGGGCACATTTCTGTTGTCCCCCCTGGAAAACGATTTCTGTTCTCCATTTATCTTGGCTTCTCCCCCGACTACTCCAAAAGTGAGCTAGTTTCCACAGAGATGAACAGTCAAAAGACCTGAAATTGAGGCCTAACTTTGGCTGTTGGTCTTGGACAGGTTAGCTCCTCTCAGAAGCTCAGCATTTACTGATCATCTACCTGGTGGAGGGTGCTGGCCAGGCACCACGGGGGTAGAAGGTGGATACAAATTGGGTAGTGCATGACCTGGGGCTGTGCTCTTCTCCCAACTTTCTGCATTAAGAGTTGCTGTGGGGCCCTAATAAAATGCTGGTTCAGTAAGTGAATAACCACACTTAGAGAAACACTAACCGAGTAGGGGAGAGAGAGAATACACTAGAAGTTCTGATAGATTACTGGTACGGAATATTGACATAGATATTGACAGATTATATTGGGCCTAGATCCCAGAGCTGGGAAGACCAGGGAGTCACTGTGACCCAGTATGTGCAGAAAGGAGGCCCTGTGTTAACAGTACTACCAAAGCCTTGCCCATGGCTGACCTTCAACAAATATTAGTTGAGTTAATAGGAAGTGATTGGACATCACCCATCTATATGAGACTCCTCCCCTGAGGGAGGCAGAAAACCATGGGGTGAAGTGTGTTGGTTCAGGAATCTAATTACTGGGGCTTAGGCTTGCCTTTGCCACTTACTGGTTGTGTGTGACCTTGGGCTGGAGTGCCATCTTTCTAGACCTTCATTTTTGCACCTGCAAGATGAAGGCAATCCCAGGGTTGGCATAAGAATCACATAACATGATGCACGTGCAGTGCTTGGCACTGTGCATGGTACCGGTAAGGGCTCAGTAAGTGCTAGCTGTGCCTGGAGCAGGGGGCTTGACATCGAGGGTCAGCTTCTGCCCACTTCTTGTGAGGTCAGAGAGGCCAGCCTGGGTGGCTGTGCCCTCTGCATCATAGAGCTAAGCTGTCAGGTCCTCCAGTGAGGTTAGGTGAGGCTAGGAGAGACCTGGTATTGGAGGAGGGGTGGTTTGCCATCCAAATTCAAGATCCAGGGAAGAACATGTAGAACATAACATGTCCAGGAGAAGCCTGGACCCGGGTTCTGGAAGCAGCCTCTGAATGGGAGCTGTCAGTGGAGGCAGGAACTGCCATCTACTCTGCTGGCCCTGTGCTTAGCTGTTTCCTATCAGCATCTCATCTAGCCCTCATGGCCTCCCCTTTGGGCGGGTATTTATCTCCCCCTTTTACAGATGTGGAAACCGAGGCTGGGGGGGGGGGAGCTACATGACCTTCCCCAGGTCAGAAAACCAGTAAGTGGCAAGTGCCCAAGACCACCGTGTCTGGAGTGGTTGCTGGGGAGCATCAGTGTTACTGGCAGGAGGAGGAGTTGGGGGAAGCAGGGAATGGTGGGGGTCAGCTTGGGGTCCATTTGTGATGGCAGCATTTTATATTGAAAATGTCCATGGTGTCTTTTGTAGACCTCGCCCCGATTTCTTTTACCGCTGCTTTCCAGATGGAGTGATGAACTCAGAAATGCACTGCACGGGTGACCCCGATCTGGTGTCCGAGGGCCGCAAAAGCTTCCCCAGCATCCATTCCTCCTGTAAGTCTGGTGGCTGGGACTCTCTTTAATTCCCGGTCATGTTTCCTGACCATTTTCCTTGGGAGTTTCAGTGGAGAAGAAAGTGCTGGGACGTGAATGTTGAGCACAGTTCATTCTGCTTCCCTGTACACTTAGAAACAAGAATTTGACAGGAAGTAATAAACCTGCGGACAAGGCTCTAGAGTTTACAAGACATCGTATATTTTGCTTCTGTGAGCTCAGCGGAGCATGACATGTGACACTTTACCCTTCGGATTCAGGATTCAGTACGATTCAGGAGCTTGACTGTGCAAGGGAGTTTACCATGTTCCCTGGGACCATATGCTTTCAGCTCTGTGTTCTCTCTAGTTTATTTCTTTAGTGGAGGCATCGTGTGTGTACCAATATATGGCATATATATGTACACACACGCACGCGCACAAGTGCCTCAATATATAGTCTGGTTATAGATATGCAGGCTGGGACCAGCCTTAAAGTCAAGACTAAGTAATATGAATCAGGTGCAAGGTGGTGTAGTGGAGAGGACACAAGTCTTTGTAGCATGACAAACCCTAGTTCTGCCAGGTATTAGCTCTGTGACTTACCTGCTCTTGCCTCAATTCCTGCTGTGTAAAATGGGAATGATGGCACCTCCGTTATTAGGTGGAGTGAGGGTTAAAATAAATAATGATGATCACTGACATTCGTGGAGCACTGCCATGACAACATGGGTAAGGGCATTATTTTATTTAATCCCCTCAATGTAGATGTGAAGTACTTAGTATGGTGCTTTAAATCAATAATACTCATCCATATTATTGTCTGTAACCAGAGTTGAGGTTCCAGAGTATCCTGGATCATTCTGGCAATGTTTATTGAATGACCAAGGTGCCAAGCACCAAGCTAGGTGTTGGGGACACAAAGATAAATAAAACACAGCTTGTGTCCTGGGAAGCCTAGAGACAGTTGTACACTGTATATTTAGGTTGGTGACACTGGGATCATTGGGAAACCGTGGCCACAGGCGACCACTTGGGAGAGGCTGCTCTTATGACCCAAAGTCATTGATTTCTCACAGGTCTGATGTTATTGGCCATTGGTGGGCCTGTTTCCTTGATCTTTTCTGTTTTTTTTCTAAGTATGTAAGACATTTCCTGATAGCGGCTAGATCAAGGAGTAACTGGATGCCTTTTCCTGCAGTGTTTGTTGGATATTTGCTCAGTGTCCTTAGGGACTGGAGCCCTGTCAACAAGATATTGGGGTGCCAGTCGCTCTAAGTGAATTACCTTTAATCTGTACAATGGCCTCGCCAGGTTGGGTTATCCCCATTTTGCACACGAGGACAGTGAAGCTCAGACAAACTCAGTATCTCATCCAAGGACACTTAGTTGACCATGCCAGCCTCTAACTCGATAGTGTCTCAGGCCTTGCAGTGATTAAATACGGTGAAGTATCCCATGTGTATTTAAATAACTCATATTCTTGTTTGGCTTGTTGGAGACTATAGCATGTTGAATCATGTTCCCCCACAAGATATGTCCAAGTCCTAGCCTATGGAACCTGTGAACATGATCTTATTTGGAAAATCATCTTTGCAGATGTCATTAAATTAAGGATCTTGAGAGGAGATCATCCTGGATGTAAGGTGGCCCTAAATCCAATGACAGATGTCCCCAGTAGAGAAAGACCTAGGAATATGTGAGACGTGGAGACACAGGTGAGAAGGCCATGCAAAGATGAGGGTAGAGATCAGAGTGGTGTCACCACAAGCCAAGGAATACCTGGAGCTCCCAGCTGCTGGAAGGGGCAAGGAAGGATCTTGCCCACACCTTGATTTCAGACTTCTGGGCTCCCGAATAGGGGGCTGTTGTTCTCAGCCTCCCCAGGCTGGTGGTCTTTGGTCATGGCCACCCTGGGAAAAGGATACAGAGGCTTTAGACCAAACACATCCACTTGTTAGTAGAAAGGCTTTGACTTTAGAGTCTTGGGGGAGATTGAGAGGAGAAGATGCTTACTGACTATGCTTCGTCAGGATGTCCATTGAGGTTGATACGGCAAGGGGCCCGGCAGTGCATGAAGGTGGAGGACCTAGGGTTCCCTGAGGCCACTTGAGGCCAAACATCGGTCTGGAAGCACTTCTCCTCTGAGGTTGTTTGTGCTCTTGGAAGTCTCATTTTGGGCGAGCGTCTGTTTTAGGGGAGTCGTAGGTGCCAGCTGGAGGAACACCTGCCGCCCTGAGTTCTATCTCCTCGTGATCCGGTGTTTCCTTGCCACCACTGTTTTGAGGCTCCCGGAAAGGCATGCACCTGGGGTTGGCTCCCACATGCTCTCCACCTCTGTCCTCCTAGGGTCCCTTAAGTGCACAATTGTTTTCAGGAATGCTCTGTCCTCCCAAAGACTCGGTGCTGGGCTTAAGGGGCTTCCAAAGCTAAAAGCAGAAAGAATGAAGCCCTTAACCTTGGCTTTCAGGTAGTTCACTGAAGTGTCTCCACACCACTTAGTATCCAGTGTTGCATTTGACCTGGGGAAGGACATAGCTGTCGTGTGAGTAACTGAGCCCAGAAGCCTGTCTGGCCCTAGAGAGTAGAGGCCAGAAGTATTTCTTTGAGAAGTGCACATTCCCTATCAGACGCATTTTCTGACAGGGCTGCCACCAGCTGCCCTGTCAAGTGCATGGCTGATGTCCCATCTGTGCTAGATGAGCTTTTTTGACAGAGGCTATTACTATCTTTTGCTTAAGACACTACTTAAAATGTTACAGATTTCTACTACTTGGCAGACACAGAAGCCTACCCAGCCCCTAGGCTTTGATGATAGTATTTTTATCTGTTCTCTTTCTTTGCTGTGACAGGTCAGTGATTGCCTTACAGGGACCCGCCATATCCACTTAGAAAAACCATCAGTGCTGTGCTTTGGATTTCTTACTGTGGCTTTGACATGACTCCTGGCTCTCGGAGGAGGTACTGGACCTCAGAGGGATGATCTTAGTGGAACCCCAGTGTGGTACACACACTCCTCCTCCCTTCAGTGAAATCAACTTTGTAGGTTGCAATGGAGTGAGTGGACACAGGTGTTCTGGACCACGAGATCTCCTAAGATGAATTCCTCACGCTAGGCAATCACGGCTTTGCTTCTGCTCCGTTTATAATCAGTGACTGGAAGGTTGGTTTTCTTTGAACATGAGAACAAACATTGGTTTATTTTGGAAACAAAAGATCCTGTGCTTGGTAAGCAGTCAAACAGGACCTAACTGAAGTGCTCAGGTGGCATACGGTTGGCCAAGGGCATGTCCCACAGCAGCCATCTTATGGGACTTGCTTGGTAAGGCAGCCCAAGCCTCCCTTGTGGGAAAAACAGAGATTACATTTTCAAAGAGCGAATAGTTTCCTCCCGAGTTACCAGAAACTTGAATTTATTTTTTTTAAAGATTTATCCATTTATTTTAGAGAGAGTGCACACACGTATACACACGTGTGCAAATAGAAGTGCAGATGGAGGAGAGAGAACCCACAAGCAGACGTCGCCACTGAGTGTGGAGCCCAACGCAGGGCTCAATCCCATGACCCTGAGATCATGACCTGAGCTGAAACCAACAGCTGCTTAACTGCCTTCCACCTAGGCGCCCCCAGAAACTTGATATCTAAAGCAAAGGAAGGCAATATAGCTTTAAAGCAGGGATATTCTGAAAAGGAATTGTCTTTCATTGTAGTCTTGGCTTTCGGTTGGGTACTTTTTCACATTCTAGAAAAAGAATAGCTTTCAGAGAGAAAAATAGGAAAAAAAAACCCAAATTATTAATGCCAAGTCAAGCTATTAGAAACTCCTTTCTTGTGAAAATGATGAGCATGCATAATGTGATATTGTTGTTCAGGGATCACCAAACAACAGCCCGTGGGCTAAATCGATGCCTACTTGTTTTTGTAAATAAAGTTTTATTGGAACACTGAGATGCCCGTTTGTTTATGTATTGCCTATGGAGGCTTTGCATTCTAATGGCAGAGTTGTGTAGTTCCAAGGGAGACATGACCCACAAAACTGAAAACATGTTCCTTATGCTCCAAGTAAATAGTATTGAAAAGCGTTACCATGACGGTTGGGGTTGGGAAGGGATAAATAGGCAGAGCACAGAGGATTTTTAGGGCAGTGAAACTACTCTGTATGATACTAGAATGGTGGATATGTTATTATATATTTGTTGGAACCTATGAATGCGCAGCAGCGAGAGTGACCCCTAACATAACCTATGGACTTTGAGTGATGATGATGTGTCAGTGTAAGTCAATCAATTCCAACAGATAATGGAGGATGTTGATAATGAGGGAGGCTGTGCATGTGTGGGGGCAGGAGGCTTGTGGAAAGTCTCTGTACCTCTCTACCTTCCTTCCTTTCTAATTTTTTTATTTTCAAAAACATTTTTATTTAAATTCAATTTAGTTAACAGGTAGTGTTGTATTATTAGTTTCAGGGGTAGAATTTAGTGATTCATCGGTTGCATATAACACCCAGTGCTCATTATATCAAGCGTCCTCCTAATGCCCATGCCCCCACCTACTTCCCCTCCAGCAACTCTAAGTTTGTTTCCTGTAGTTAAGAGTTTCTTATGGTTTGCCTCCTTCTCTGTTTTTTTTATCTTATTTTATTTTTCCTTCCCTTCCCCTATGTTTATCTGTTTTGTTTCTTAAATTCCACATATGAGTGAAATCATATGGTATTTGTTTTCCTCTGACTTATTTTGCTTAGCATAATACCCTCTGGTTCCATCCACATCATTGCAAATGGCAAGATTTCATTCTTTTTTTTTTAAAGATTTTATTTATTTATTCATAAGAGACACACAGAGAGAGGCAGAGACATAGGCAGAGGGAGAAGCACGCTCCATGCAGGGAGCCCGATGTGGGACTTGATCCCGGGACTCCAGGATCACGTCCTGAGCCGAAGGCAGACGCTTAACTGCTGAGCCACCCAGGCATCCCGATTTCATTCTTTTTGATGGCCTAGTAATATACCATCATGTGTGTATA